GGTGTGGGTTGGGTGTGGGTTGGGTGTGGGGTGTGAGTGTGGGTGTGTGTGTGAGTATACAGAAAATGAATACTCACACCCCTACCCACACCCCACACCCACCCACACCCACACTCACACCCCACCCACACCCACACCCACACCCAACTGATTTTATTTCAAAACAGCAAGAAGCGCTGTTGTGTTTCAATTCACTGTTGCCTGTAGTTCGTTAAGTGTTCTATCCAGTGGCGCAAAAAGCTCTTAATGATTGAAGCCTCAACCGGAAACTTTTTGCACCACATTAAAAGCATTGATAGGCAATAAAATATTTGAGCATAGTTCAGTGGTAGTCCTTCTTGAATATGAAAATCGATCACTATTTAATGTCTATAAACTTCTGGTATCAGTTCATAGTAATCAGAAGCATTCGTACCATGAACTACCATTCTAAGTTTCTTAGTATTGAATAGCGACCGATTTTTGCATTCAAGAAAGCTTCTCACTGAACTATGCTCATATATTCTATTGTCTATCAGTGGTCTTAGTGTGATGCAAAAAGTTTCCGATTGAAACACTCAAATGCTTCAATGAATAAGAGTTTTTTATGCCATTGGATAGAGCACTTTATGAACTACAGGCAACAATGAATTAAAACACAACAGTCCTTCTTTCCGTTTTTAAATTAAATAAGTTCGAGAACTTTTTGAACGTGGGTATATTTGTCTTTAATGTGTTAGATAATTGTTTCAATAAAACATGAGCGATTAATTTACTCCATTTCAAAGTGATCAATTATTATCTTGTGTTACTAAAAGTCAAACATACAGAATATATCCATGTGCGGCAACGGTTGTTGGGGAAAATTTTTGAAAATTTATTGGAATCTGAAGAAATTCAAAGTTGAATAGAATCTAAAAAAAATTTTTGACAAATATTTTCCTGTCATAGATAAAACTTGTCAATTTTCGAAACAAATCTCGGCTTAGTTCTATAAACATCAATAAAAGCTTCTACATATCTTTTTTCTTTTCTTCTGATTAAACATTTGAAAGAGTCATCAGTGTCTTTATCATAGTGTCAGTATCGTCTATCTTTGTTTACGTTACTCATGCATCTTACTACTTGTTGCATTCTGTCTCTCGTGTATCTATTCATGATAGAAGGTGCACTATTTGTATTCTTCTCTGTTCTTTCTATATTATGTTCCTAATGTAATGCTACTCTTCCGATTTTTTCTCTGTTGCTATTGTATTTCCATATGCGTAGATAACTACTGGGATAACTAATAATTGTTCATCAGTGACCGGATCGATCCATTTTTCGTTGATTCGAGTTAAATTCGATTCGAATAACTCTCTACTTCTACTTAAACCAAACGATATTGAATAGTAGCATTGTTTTTTTGAGTAAACATCTTGAACGAGAAAACTCGTCTTTTAATTGAATTTTATATTAGGAAAAATTTTTTATTTTCTCGGCAGATTCTGGATCCCTGCTAAAAGTATTCGACTATGAACAAGAAAATAAACGATCAGACCAATACTTTCTTCCTCTATTTATTCATTAAAAGACAATCTAATTTAAATTGGTGTATTATATTTAAATGAATAAAGATATTTCTAATGTTTATATTTGATCAACTTTTCAAAAAGAAAAGTTCACAAAGATTTGACATTTACATAAATTATTTATTTTATTGTTTTCGTTCATTTGAATGCTTGCCATAGTAAGCTAGTGGAAAAAAGTTTTCAATAATATCTATTGATTCATAGAATGGTTCAGATGTTAGTAGTGTTCCTACTCTACAACAATTGTCTCTTGCTTGTTGTTGGTTTTGATCGATTATTGTCAACAAAATATCCTTGTTAATAGCGAGTTCGATTAGAGACGGAAGATAAATTTGACAAAGAAATTGTTGAGCATAATCCATATGAATATCATTTAAAATTAGTACAGTTAAATGAGCAAAGTCAATGTTAATTTTCTCTGTTGTCGTTTTTTCTTGTTGTTCAAGTTGATTAAATATCTCGAGTGTTCGAAGTCGAGGTAAAGCTCGAGCAACACGTTCAAAGAAAACACTTTCGAAAGGTTTGATATCATCAAAAAGTAATAAGATAGTAACATTTGAAAATGTCTTATTAATGTCAAAGAGTGGAAATCGATTTGAGACAAAATCAAGACGAGTACCAATAAATGGAATTGAATAGATTTGACATTGTCCATAGTTATTATTAAAATTATCGAGTACACAATCAAACGGGTGTTGGTGTTTGAAAAAACTTTGACGAATTTGGTCAATTGTTATATGAGAAGCATTTTTTAATATTGAACGAATATGATAATTAAATTGACGTAAACGAGGCATATATGAAAGAATATTTCTCTCTAAGAAAAATCCATCAATAAAATGATTGGGTGTAGTACCTTGTACATCTATAGCTAATAATAATGTTAAATATTCGACATTTACCAAACGTTGTAGAAGGAAAATACATGGTTCATAGTTATTAAAATTACGATACATTGTTATTGTCATTTGTGTTAAATTAGGACACGAAATCTAAATGAGAATATTTATTGAAATGTTAAATCTTGAAATCTTACTTACCGATCTTATTTTAGAAATAAAACTAGGTTCCTCTTCCAAAACATTTCCTATAGTAACTGTAAATGAATGGAGTTGTGAGCCTAATTGATTTAGTAAATGAACGCATTGGTCGAAACTCCATAAAGATATACGAAGATGAGTTAGTCGAATTACTTGATCGAAGCGCAATTCATCATCGTCAAGGCTTTCGGTTAACATACAGTTATCATCAAGGTCGAACGATTCAATAGAACGCATACATGATGAACGACACAAGGCAGATATTTTTTCACCAATCATATATTTGGGTAGTATAAAATATTGAGGTACGATTGAAAAGAGAGGTTTGCGCATTGAACGGCTCTTCATCAAACGATTCACTAAAACATGTGTACAGTGTTATTATATAATATAGGGTGGCCCAAAAGTTGGTTTCCCGAAAAAAAATTGAATATTTCCATTACGACTCGAAGAAATGAGCTGATTCTTTTATCAATGATAGAGGCATATTCAAGCTTTATATATATATATATATATATATAAAGATATACATAGAGAGAGAGCCTTTATTAAGTATTACTATTGATCTTAACAAAAAAATTTTACTTTTTCACAAAAGAAAAAGAAACAATATACTTAACAAAGGGTCTCTCTGCACATATCTTTATGAATATAAAGCTTAAACAAGCTTTTATCATTGATAAAAAAAAATCAGCTTATTTGCTCAAGCTGTAATAGAGATATTCAATTTTTTTTCCGACACAGTGACTTTTTGCGCCACCTTGTATATTGTTTTTTTCCTATATGTGAAGAAGTAAAATTTTTTTTTTGTTGAGATCAATAGTGATATTTAACAAAGGCTCTTTCTATGTATGTCTTTATGGATATGAAACTTAAACATGCCTTCATTATTGATAAAAAAAATCAGCTCGTTTACTCGAGCAGTAATGGAGATATTCAATTTTTTTTTCGGAAAACCGACTTTTTGGCCACCCTTGTATATCGTCAAGCTAGTTGTTTTCGATAGTCATCAATGAACAAATCGACAAGATTTTTACATATTTTACTCAAGCTATATGCTTACTATGAGAAAAGATTTTATATATTAAATAAGTCAAACAATCTAGGACGTATTTTACTCATTATTTTCAAGTGTAGTCTTTCTCTAAACAAGAGTATTGAATGAATTTATTTTCTCTAAAACATTAATAACAGAATTTGACATTGTCAAATGATAAAACTTTGTTTCTTTTCTCAACAGAAAATAAACTAACGCAATATATAAATACAGTTTAGAAAAATCTAATCAATCATAATTTACTTGTATAAGGTATGCCTGTTTTAGCCTGTTTAACCCCCAACATTATTTTCAAATGTGTCAAATTTGGAAAAGTTCCATTAAAGTTGTTTTCAGCAAAAGTTTTAATATACGATATTTGACTAAGATTAATTGTTAATGATTGAATATGATGGCTGATACGTGGCATGACATGAGAACAAAATCGTCGAATAAATGGTCGATATGGTGTTCCAATATAACAGAAAGTTAAATCGATTGAATGACATCTATTAAATGCAAGTTCTTCTAAACGATGATTTCCAATATCAATCATAGAACAAAGTAATAGCACATGAGGATTAACTTTATTCATAATATATAATATTAACTCATCTGGTAAATCGATCAATTCAACAACATCTTTTATGCACAAAAATCATTAAATTAATCATATTATAAAGTAGATACATACTCTTCTTTGATAAACAGTTCATTGTTGATGTATATTAAGTTCATATAAATTAAAACTGATATATATATATATATATATATATATATGTAGAGTTATGTTTGATGGACATTGTCTAAATGATAATCAATCATTGATAATTAATTATTATAACAAAAGAAAGATTATTTATAGAAAGAAAGACGTAAATCGACCAATTAGATAAAGGCATTTTCATTGTGAAACATTATTTGTTGATTTAAAGCTATGTCTAACCTTTAGAAGTAATAGTGGACTAATGACATAATTTAAAAAATCGTACGTGATAGAGCATTGCCCCATAGTATTTGAAAAAATCGATTCGAAATCATGTAAACAATGCTAATTACTAGTTTTTTTTATTTATCCTACTGGTAGTATAAAAATAGAACTAGTCCATTTCTAGTTATAACATATTTAGATATGTTTTTATGGAACTCTTATTATATTTAGTTTATCCGTTCTTGAAAAGTTTCTATAAAACACGATTAGAAATGAAAAATCTTTTTTGCGAAAAACACGCATGTTTATCATATGTTTGAAGATATAAATATTAATATTAATTTAGATCATTCTGGGATAAATTCAAACAATATCTATGAAATTACATTATTTTGTTTTGAAATATTTCGTTTAACCTATTGAAATGTAATCTTGTGATAAAGAGGATTGCATATCATCAACATATTTCTATATGTTTATTGTCTTGTTAAACATTATTTGTATTTATTTTAAGAAAATTTCATCGATTAGACTATTAAGAATTTTTGTTGATATTTCTATTGATATGTTTATTTGTTAGAATCGATTTAGATTTTCATTGTTGTTTAATGATTTTCATAATTTTTGTAGACATGAATGAAAACAATAAAAATATATTTAGATATTCTTTTATCAATATATTCTCAATTTAGTTCGAAAAGAAAAACATATCATTTTATCTTATCTTTGTAAAGAAACAGTTTTATTAAATGAAGAAAAATAATTCGTATGATTTGAAATGTAGTTTTTGTCGTTATCTTTCACAAACTCGAAATTTTAAATCGTATATATCTTGTTCAACATCAATACATATTCAAATTTAACTTTTACAAAAAAACAAAAAAATCAATTAATTCTATGAAATGAATTTAATTATACAAATAAAATACTTAATCTTAATCTACAATAAATCTATATTCAAATAAATGTCTATTTAGTAAGTATATCTATTCAATTATTAATTAAACGATAAATTTATTTATCCTAATGTATTCGTTTTCTATGTAGTCTATATATAAGACAAAAAAATATTCTATGAATAGATGATTTTCCTAGATGATATGATTTCTGTTGATATAACTTCAATGGAAATGATGTTTATTTCTACGATATGAAAATAACATATAATTATGATTATATTGATCACTAATAATAATTTCAATGCTCTACTTTTCCTATAGAATATTGTTGAAAAATAGTCTAGTTTTATAGATCAAACTATATCTTTATTTTATTTTTCCCAATTATTTCAGGACAAACATTTTGAACTTTATTTAAAATAATGCTTATTCGTAATGTTTGTAAACAAAACAATAAAATCATTATTATTTTTTTATTTAACAGATAACGTTAATTTATCTTACTTATTTTTTCATATTTCAATAGATAGAATACGATTCTATGTTAAGCTCTATCCAAAAATTCATTAAAAAAATTTCTCTTTTGAGTATGTTTTTATTAAAATGAACGTTAGATTGTCAAAAGTAATTCAACATATTCATAATTTAATTATTGAATATAAACTTGTTGTGAACAATCATTAGAAACAATTTTCATGTTACGCAGAGAAAAAAAAGTTAACATAGAAAAATGATTAAAAATTTCAAATGTCGACGTGTCATATATATATACATGTAATGCATTCGAACAATAAACGAACATCAATGACATTTAAGTTCACATATTTCAATTATTAAACAAATTTGTTATGCTAGCGAAGTTTTTTATTGAAATTGTTAGAAGATGAAAATGATCAAAAGACGTAGAAATTTATCTTCAAGCTCCTTGACAAAACATCGTAATAAGTTTGATATTTTTCATGCTGAAATTTATTGATATGTACGAGCAATGTCCACCGTGACAGGTGTTATACGTTGCATTGATTGTCGTTGGAAACTGAAAACTTTTGTTGAATTTTGTAAAATTTGCCCAATTCCGATAAATTTTGAAAAGAAAGAGAGAGAGAGAGAAAACGACGGAGAACTTATTAATAGGTTCAGAGGTACAACGAATATCGCTGAAACTGATCCTAAATGTGCTAAAATTTCGAAAACTATGTATTTATTTTTGTGTCGCAGTGGCAGTGGTTCAGTCACTAAAGTAACACCTTTACTCACCATATAGTAATTAGAAAATCTATGGACTTTCTAGATTTGAATAGAAGAAAAATCCGTATGCACCCAATAGTAAAAAGAAATCAAGCAAGTAATAACGATTAAAGAACTTCTATGGAATTTCACATCGTTTGACGGAATAGCAGAATTGAACGATGTAAATATAAGTGAAAATCAAGAACTTCAATAAAATCTATCGAGAGAAGAGAACTAATAGAATTGTATTAAATTGTTACATTTTCTTAGATCGTTTAAATTTCTTAATTTTCAGCATTATTTCGAAAGTGACAATGATGTCATCCTGTTTCTGAAATAGTCAAGTAGAATTGTATGAAATTGTCAATTGCTGGATGGTGAGTATATCTCTAAAGATAAATGTCAGACATATCTCGACATTCCGACGCGCACAACAACTTTTTGTTGTTTTTCAAGCATTTTTGAAACATTTTCGAGTCAAATCGATTATTAAAAAATATTTTTTAAAAGAGAAATGTATTAAGGCCTCCCCTACCCACGCAAAAATCGATCTCAGTCCAGGTACGTTCAAATGGGCTGAAACTTGGAGCATATGTTGGGACGAAAGTGAGGAGGCTATGGTAAAATTCTCAGCTCGATACTATGACGTTTGACAGAGATATGAATCAAACAACGAGTCAAAAATAGCTCATTTGCTTTCCAAGATTTATTGGTCCAGGTTCGTGCTATATGTTTAATTTTTTTTTATTAGAAAGAGCATGTCAGGATGCAGAGCATCACAGAGTCCTTTTTTTTAAAATTCTTACTTTTTTAGCGGAAAAAGGGAATTACAAGTTCAATGACTCAAAAAAAAGCACCAAAAATGGGTGTCTAGTTACGTAAATGTCTGTATATATAATAAAAAATAAAGCTTAATTAAAAAAAGGACTCTGTCGTTCCCTGCACCTGGACATGCTCTTGAAGAACAAAAGAAAATTTAAATATATTGAAAGAGCCTGGACCGAGACATCTTGGACAAAAGATCAAAAAGTCATAAACAGAGAAAAAATAAAAAACATTTTGTGATCTTTCAAAAAACCGCTGGTTTTTCGACTAGGGGTTTCGAAAAACTTGGGAAATTTTTGGAAAAAATGAGGTATCGAGGAAAACTTTTTATCGTTTATGAAGAAGCAGATGACAGGTGTGGGTGTAAGCATATGCGTGAAGAGAAGACCCACACCCACACCCTTTTTTATTGTTTTATTATTGTTAAATAAACTTTTTTATTAAAGCATATATAAGTAATGTAAAAGTAATAAGATGGGGAAATAAAGCTATTTTTAAACGACGAGATGAGATAATGAGTGATATGCATCAGCAGCCATTTCGAGAAAATCGATCACAGGTTTCACCAAACGTCTAAACACAGCAGCAGGTGAATACACACATGTTAAACATCCCTCAGCTAACATCTTAGCTGCATGTTTTCCACCATCCAACAATAAAGCGGCCTGTCCACAATACGAACTACGTGTTGATCGACCAACTTCTTCATGCACTCCATCTGATGCTCTTCTTTTATATATAACCGCCTCACCTAAAACACAATCCATTTAAAAAAAAACAAAAGAAAATTTTTTTTACCCTCAACAATAATGTAAAATATATCTCCAAGTTCATTTTCGACCAGAACTGTGGGTAGGGTGTAGGGTGCGGGTGGATGTGGGTGTGAGTGTGACTTAAAATATCTTTCACACCCACACCCACACCCTTTAAAAATTGTAATCTTCTTTGAAATAGATCCTTTTCGATTTCAAGTTGTTCAATGTAAAATAGACTATATGATAAACAATAATGAATTAAGAATTTATTTACTTCAAATCGATAAGCTGTAAATGCAACATTTGATGTTGTGGTTGCCATTTTATCAATAAACAAAAACTGTAAGAAGAAATCTAAAATTTTAATACAAAAATTCAATATAGGATATGGGGTGTGGATGTCATTTCTCTCTTTACTCACACTTACGCACCTACATACCCACATCCACACCCACCGCTTGATGAGCAGGTGGAGCTCATTCATTCCACTATCCTATGAGAAAAACAGTACTGTGACTATGATCCAACGAACCTTAGCCGTCTGCTCCATATATACATTACTTGCGGAGGAACTCGACATGATTCGATGGATAGCAAACCAAAACGGTTATCCTGTCAACTTCATTGATACTCGGATTGGTATTAGTTTGACTAAGTACTTTAACAGGAATATGGAAAAAGTGAAGTCAACCAACAAGATAGAAGAAGAAAAGACAAAGATGTGTTCCGAGATTCTCTATATCGGCACAGCCACTAAACAATCGAAATCCAAACCAAAAAAATCACAGAGAACGTCCGACCAGACATTGATGCATGATTCTTCGCCAAACCGATTCGATCAGTTCAAACCTACTTTCCTAATAAGGAGCCCCTTCTGAAAGAATTACAATCAGATATTGTCTATGCGATTAAATGCAATGACTGCGGACAGATATATGTCGGGAAGACCAAAATC